CTGATAACGATCCTGATCACGTCTCAGGTCTACTTCTGCTTTCTTACGTCTCCCAACCACCCATCCAACCAAACACCCAACCAACCCCAACCAACCGACCACCCAACCACCCAACTAGCCACCCAACTAACCACTCAACCACCCACCTCAACTACCCCAACCAACCCCAACCACCCAACCATCCACCCATCCAACCAGTCCTCTCTAAATCAGACGTTTCTACCTTAACAACAGGTTTGTGCTCAGAGACCAAGCGTGAACCTTAAGAACGTTCTGAGGCAGCAGGTGAGAACTCAGTGAGTATTTATTAACACAGAGGAGCCAGAAAATAGATTTACGCTCAGCTATCAGGTGTAAAAAGCCTTTCTGAGCAGCACAGCCGTGTGCCGCACCTCGTTTCATGAAGTTCTTAGAAAAGGTGACAAAAATACAGTTTGACGACGTTAGAGATGCAGTCAAATATTGACCATGATACTACTAGAAAACGTGACGCATCTATAAAAGCTTAAAAACAGGCCTATGTACAGCGTTACAAAAGAGGTACAGGTATCAGTTCTGGTTCCGTCCGCCTCCTCACAGCTGATTGGTTCTCCGGAGCGGCTGGGTTAAGGCACCGAGAGCTGCTGATTGGTGGGAGGTAGGAGGTGGGACCAGGAAGGGCGGCGGGGAGGAGGTGTCGGAGGAGCCGGGCGTGGCGGGGCCGGGCGTGGCGGCGCGGCGGCCCAGCAGCGTCCGGTGAGGTTTGGTGGTGAGCGACAGCGGCTGCAGCTGCTCGCCGAACGGCGACGTCTGGCCGCCGCACGACGAGTGCGTGTGCTCGGTGTGGGTGGGGGCCGGGGCGGCGGGCGAGGCCAGCGCCGCCGTGGGCGTGGCCGGCGAGTCCAGGGAGGAGGCGGGGCTCGCCTGTGACAGGTGGGAGTGCGTCAGGTGGGAGACGGTGTGCGGCTGCGTCAGGTGGGGCCGCGGGTGGGGCGTCTGCGGGAGCGAACCGAGCGCGTGCGGCAGCGGCTCGTCGCGAGGTCGCTTCAGCTGCGAGGCGAAGTCGTCCGGAGGCGTCGCCATGGCAACTGAGGAACAAACACAAACACACGTCAGTCACCTGGAAGCTCAGGTGGACATGTGACCAGATCCAGAGGTCAGGAGGAAAACACTGAACCCTGAAACTAACCACAGGACGTCAGCTCTGATGGAAACAACCAGATGTATTTGTGAGCTCACCTTCCAGCTGAGCTTCTCCCCTCGCTCTCTTCCTCTTCTTCTTCTTGCCCTGAGCAGAACACAGACCAGACGTGAGCTGATGATCAGTGTCGACCAGCTAGATAACTAGTTAAACTCGTCTAGTTAGTCCTTACGTAGTTGTCTCTGGCCGACCAGCCGGGGTAGAGCTTGGAGTGCACCAGCCTCTCCTTGCGGGCCAGTTCGTAGTATTTGGCCTGTTCGTCTTTGGACAGAGAATGCCACTGTGGAGACGACAGCAGGACGCTGTTAGGCTTCATCACTCCAACACCATCACAAACATAACGGCATGAAAACACAACGGATCAGAGATGACACACAAACAGTAGATGTGATCAGACAGAAGAGAGGATCAGAGCTGCTGCTTCAGGAAGGGTCAGAGAATTATCACTAAGAGGGTTTGATCCCCAAAGTCTTATTATTTATAATAAAGTTGTTCTTGACATACGTTACTATTAAACGTCATATTATGACATCATCCTAAAATATTCAGACTCATCTTGGACTCATGAAGCGACTTGATTCTGATTTTCTCTCCAAACACCAAAACCTGAATTATTATCTTTTCCTCATTTAATTTTACTGTTTTAGGGAAAACTTTATTCTCAAAATGTTCTAACTTGCTTAAAAAACCTTGTTCCTGAAAAAAAAATAAAATAATAATAATTCTTTAGAAAACCCATCTGATTCCAGGAAGTTTGACTTCACACGATTAAATATTATTATTTGTACTTTATTGTTATAATAATGTGATTTATTCTGGATCTCTCTGATGTCTGGATGGACGTAAAACTGATTTAAAATTTGGTGTAAAACATCAAACATTTGCCCAGAATGAACAAATTACTTGAATGAACAGAATGATTCAGGATTTCTCCAACAAACAAAAATCTGAACAAAACATGAGATGAAATGAGTTTCTGACCAGAAATGTCCCCAAAACACAGAACATCAGACCCAAATGACTAAAACGTGTCCAGAATCACTCAAAGATGTTCAAAATGACAAAAAGTCTGTTCAGACTACTTCAGATTCCTGCTTCACTGTTGTAATAATGTGATTTATTGTTGTCATATCTGATCATATAAACTCTATACGTCTGTCAGAACAAACCAGCTCCTCTCTTTAAATATTTAGACGTTTCTATTAAAGTCTGACTTTTCTCTGCATGTTTCTGACTTCATTCCTGAAGCTCTAGAACGGTTCTGATAGTTTTCCTCTGTTAGTCTGAACCGACCCGCTGTCCCAGGATCTGGTTGATGGTGGCGCTCTCCTTCACTTTGCACTGGGCCACCACTCTGGGCCGCTCCTCCCTCATGTACAGCATGAAGGCGTTGAGCGGCTTCTTGATGTGAGGCTTCTTCTCGTCCTCCTTCTCCTGCTGGAGCTCCACCACCGACCTCCTGCAGGACGGAACCAGTCAGAGGGACGGTCGGGTTACAAAGAAAAGGTTTCATGTGTGTTACACAGTGGACGTGAACTTCTGGTTTCTACTGTGTGAGTCTGTAGTCGTGTCTCGGTTCAGAGGCTGAATCCAAAGGTTTGTTAAATCTGACGCTCCACGATGACGTCATCACGTAGCGCCGCTCCTGTTGCCTAGCAACACGGGATGCAGAATTCTCATCCCGAGGACGAGGAAAAGACGACGCTGGAATTTTACCAAATTATTCAACTGAATATATATATTTGTTTGTCATATTTTTTATATGCTTGAAGAACTTGAGGTTCTGGTAGGTACTGGACCTGCTGGAGTTCCTTTAAGACGGTCCACCTTCATCCAGGAGGCTTCATCAGCTCTGACTGACTGGTTGGGAGTTCCACATACTGATATCCTGAAGGAGACGTTAACACCTGAGTTTGGGTTTTAATTGGAGGTTTGTTGCTCCTCCCCCTCGTTATGTGGGTCGTTAGTGCTCCCCCTGCCCCAGTGGGGTTCGTTAGGGTCTCTGTGGCTCGGTGTGGATGTGGGTTCATCTTCCTGGGGAGAGATCTGAGGACTGAGCTGTAAACAGGTGAGAGGTGACGCCTCAGAACTCCCAACCAGTCAGAGCTGATGAAGCCTCTTGGATGAAGGTGGAACGTCTTCAAGGAACTCAATCAGTCCAGCTGCTACCTTTAGTCTACCAGAAGAACCAGGACCTGGATGACTGAGGGTCTTCACAGACAAGAACTTGAGGTGTTTGTCTTGGACTAAACTGTCTAAAGTGTTCACAGCTTGTTTAGATTCGTTAAAATTAACACTAATATGAACTTAAAATGTTAGAAAATCTAAGTCGACCACTGAAGCTGTGCGACTGGAAGCTACAGGTTTAAACTGCAGCGGCTCACGTCAACAACGTAACCAACTTTTTAAAAGATTTTTAAGTCTGTTGGTTTTAACTTTTGTTAATTATTGCAGTGAGCTGGAACATTAACGGTAGAATCCTCAGCTGCTGATAAATCAGACGTGAGCAGTTAAACCTCCAGCTGCTGATCAAACTGTCAGCAGTGAATCAGTGTCGTCTGAAGGCGTCTTCGTGTCTTAATCACACAGCCTTGGTGGTGTAGCCGTCGCTGTGACGTATTCAGCCTCTGAACCTGATCACACAGAGCTGCTGGTGTCTCGTCTCACCCCGACTGGCTGCTGCTGCCTCCGGGTTCCTGCTTGATTCCTGCCGGGGCGCCGGCCGGATGAGACGGCGGGGCGGTCGGGACCAGACGAGGGGAGAAGCTGCCGGACACCAGACTGACCACAGACACACGGACACGTTAAAGATCACGACTCGGACACGTTAAAGATCACGACTCNTGTTGTCATCACAGTAAAGTGTCTTTATTCTGGACACTGTTCCTCAGGTTCCTTAAAGCCAGACGGCTCTGATGACTCCTGGGACCTTGGGTCCACCAGACTCGTCCCCCTGCAGTCACAGAGCTGCATGACCAGTCATGTAAACGTATCCCAGTGTAACCCTGAGGTCATCGTCCTTCTCCTCCTACACCTGGACCAGGTGACCCTCTTTCCACCTCCACCTGGTTCTCTGGTTTTTAAAAAGTAAATCTTGTTTTACAGAAAGTAAATCTGAGCTGACGACACTCCGACACAGAGATCAGCTCTGTTTCATGTTCCTCACCAAAAACTTGCCCCTTTCACTTCCTGTCTGTGCCTTTGATGAACTCGTCCTGTGAATCGCATTTTCAGCGGCTGCATCTGAAGTGGTGGATTCTGTCGGCTCAGACGTTCAGAGTCTGCAGGGGAAAGGTGCTGCGATCCTGGAGTGATTGTAAAGTGGTCAGCTCAGGCTTTTTCTCATCTGTCAAAATACACACTCACTTATTGGAGTGTCCAAGTAAAGAGCTTTGTGGTGCTGAAATGGTCCAAAACATGAAGCTCAGTAGTTTAAAACCAGATGTGCATGAGTTCATTTCTCAGATTTGTGGATTCAAAAGCAGCATGATGATGCTGTCAAGTAGAGAAACTAAGAGGGTCATTCCAGGAAAATCAATGAGTTCCTTCCTGACCTCCTCAGAACCAGCTGGTTCTTTATCTTCAGTAACTTCAGTATATATAGGGAAGCACAATCCTGTCAGAGCCGAGTCCACCCAGACCCCAGACCAGCAGGGATTCTATACTGAACAATCCCACTTTGGAGCTCCGTGTGAGGATTCTCCACAGGACTGAAGCTTCAAAGAGGAAGTGCTTTCAGATCCTCATGCTCTGAGACTTGCTCCCCAGGTGTCCCCATTTGCTTCCTCCATTCCTGCTGTGTACCAACAACATCATTTGTCCTGCAGCAGCCCGTTTGGACAGAACCTGCAGCAGTTCTA